TCCCCAGGACCAGGATAATGCCCCCCAGGACCAGGATAATGGTCCCCCAGGACCAGGATAATGGCCCCCCAGGACCAGGATAATGCCCCCCATGATCAGGATAATGCCCCCCAGGTCTAATAAATGGGGTCAGTTTGTTGTGAACGAGTATCTTTTTCTTTTTGGACTCAAAGTACTGGAGACTTTGTGCCGTTGGAACTGTTTATTCGTCAAAACGTTCAACTCTGTCGGGAGTTTTGCGCCCAGACTTTTTGGTTTTTGTAACTTTTGTTCTTTTCAGAATATTTAACTTTATTTACAAAGATTTTCCTCACAGGGATGTTCAGATCTCTTCAAGTCCTTGAGAACATTGTTCTGTTTCAAGTCTTCACCAGTTTACTTTTTATTTTAATTTTTAAAAAATGCTACGTTTAGCTTCCAGCTCACTTTCAGCTTCTTCAGTGAATTGTGTTAAAGCACTTCAGCGCTCAGAACGATTCTCTAGTTTATTGAAACGTTTCGTGGTTTGTTTTCCGCTGGGTTTCATTTCGACGGCTGACTGAAGGCGGCTGCGTTGGGCTCTGACGGGTCTGTTTGTGTTTCTTGGTGCTGGTAGAACTGCTGCTTCATGACTCTGACCCTGCTGGACGAGTTTCAGAAACACTTCTGGTGCGTCAGCGTGCCCGTTCACATCTCGATGGCGACCCGGGCGCAGTCCTGGGACTACAGCGGCGAGGACTTCCTGATGGAGTACCAGGACCCGGAGGGTAAGGTGAGGATGAAGCTGGTCTGGTTGGAGGAGCAGAAGCAGTTCTTCCTCATCAGCCTCACCGTCTACCTTTCTGCCGCCAAAGTCAACAAACATTTCAGCCGAGCCTACTGAGTCCAGACTCTTCTAGTTTCAGTGGAATCCGTTCACGTGAAGCACCGACGTGCACTTTTATTTATTTTGTTATTAAAAAGAGGCTCGTTCTATTAAACGGAGTTATCAGCTCGCTGCTGAAGTTCTTGTGTTCACAAGATAAAAAGTTTTTTTTTACTAAGCTTCTGAATTTTTTTCTTTAAAATGTGGACCTGGTGTCCTAATTTTTGTTTAATTATATTTAACTTGTATTATCAGTTTAAATAAACTGTTTCAGACAAACTTCTGCTTCTTAAATTGGCTGAATATTTTTAATTTGGTGCAACAAATCATGTAAAACACAACAAACAGTGTGACTAAAGATAAACGAGTCTTAAGTTTATAAAAGGAACCCTGTTAAATTTAGCTGGAAGTCCTTTTTATATTTTTACAACCACAATTCCAACAACTTAAGGAGTTTTGTAAAATGTAAACAAAAACTGAACGCATTGATTTGCAAACATTGTAAACCCAAATTTATTCACAATGGAACGTAGCAAACACATCAACTGTTAAAACGAAGAGTTTGGACCATTTGTAGGAACAAAATAAATAAATTAAAAGTTTAATGGCAGCAACATGTCCATAAAAAGTTGTTCCAGAGCCAACAAAAGGCTGTGAAAGGACGTAGGGGCATTTAGGAGCTAATTGATCAGAATCAGAATAATTTTATTATTGTACTGAAACATGGTGAGATTATGTTCGTACAGTTGTCCAAAAGATGGGTGGAGTGCACGTTGCTGCTGCTACTGGAGCACGGCCCCTTATCCTCTCAGAATACATTTTAGATTAAAAAGGGGACTGCTGGTACTTTCAATCCAAAATGGCCAGATTTGTGGGCATTCCACTGGTCCGTGTTATGAGCCTCCTCCAAGGCCGTCCCCAACATGCTGGCGAGTCCCAGAAGCCGCAGTTGGCCTATGATTCTCACAAATCGCTTCCATTTTAAGGTTTAGCTTGTAAATCAGCTGATTTTGAGTACTTGAAGCACGAACCAAACCTTCACACAGACTCGGCAGTTTTGCCATGGCTGAAACTGCTGCCGCTGTCTTCTTCAATAGCCAATAACGTAGGAATCCTACGATCCCAGAAACCCTTCTATCATGGTTCCAATTATATAAACATCTTCAGCGTCCTTCTGAGACAAAATGGAAATACACAAGCTCCCAAACTCCCCATGGATGCATGACGTATCCTGCCGCATGAGTCTCAGCGGGGCATGAGGGCTCTCCAGGACCCTGTCGCTTTGTTGAAAATATTTTGTCGATTGCGTTGAAAGTCCAGCTGACCAGATCCATGACGGTAGTTTTCATTTCAGAAGATGTGTAAATAGGAGCTCCGATACACAGACAGTAAAAAAAAGCAGGAGGAACAGGAGAGGGAGAGAAAAGGTGTCCGCCTTGGACGAGAGCGACTGCAGAAAAATTAAGTTTATTTTAAAATTAAGTTTATTTAAGTTTATTATCAACAGGTCACCAGGTATAAATTAATAATTTTAGAGAGTCTGAATCTCAGAAGTAAAGATGTGCAGAGGTTCATCAGTCTGGAGGTAAAACTACATCTAAAAAAAGTGGAACAGTTTCATAAAACTGAAGTTGAGAAGATGCTTCTGTTTCTACTATAAATCAGCCGTCCGTAAATAAATGTCACTTTTAGTTTTAAAGCTGTTTGGATGGTTTTAAAGTTGGCACGTTTGCAGTCATGAAAAGTAAAGACATCATATTTCTGCTAAAAATGTTTAACACGCCAAGGCAAGATAAAAATAATTTGTTACCAGATTTATAAAAAATGGTCAATGTCACACAAAGAACAGCTATTAAACATTTGTTTTTCAAAAATAATTGACAAATGCTGTTTATCTTTACGGTTTCTGACATGATGATAGAAAAGCAGGAGTTTCTGCTGCCCTGCAGTCTACAGGTGTGTGTTAACACGAGAGCGGAAAGACATCAGCAATGACCTCAGAACAGCTGCTGCTGCCCATAAGGCTGAGGGGTCAAACGTCATTTCCAAACTGTTACAAGTCCGTCTTTCTGCAGAGAGAAACATTCACAAATTGAAAACATTTTGAGACAGCTGACCTTCTTCCCAGGAATGGCAGCAAATTCACCCTGAAGGTCAGACTGTGCAGCACTCAGAGAAATGAGGTGCATCTCAGACTCTACAGGCCTCAGTGAGCAGGTCAAAGGTCAAGACCTCTTTAGAAACAACATGGCAGCAACACTTAAGTTAGTTAAGTTTCATCGGAAGGAACCACAAGACTTCTGGACCAGAACCAGACCAGAAGAGAGACGTTTACCCAGAATGCAGTGCAGCAAACAGCTCCTCCAGCTGTCAGCACGGTGGTGGAGACTGATGTTTTGGGCTCCTGTCAGTCACTGAGTGGACCAGACTTCCTCTGTTGATCAACGGGTGGAGTCAAATGTTGGTCCATCTGTTGAACAAACTGGGTCCAACAGGACCATGATCCAGTCAACCCACTGACAACAAAAATTTCACACAAGGAAACTCCAAAATTCTCCACCAGTGACACTTTTCTTTTGACAGCGGTTAAAAAGTTCTTTCCAGCTGAACCTGCAGATGGGTGTTGAGGTTTTCCATGAATAATCTAATCTGAGAGATTAACTGGAGAAATGATGAGCGGAGCAGAGTTCATGCCACCAACATTTGTACAGGGACTGAAGAACGGCAGGAGTTTCTCAGCGAAGCAGCATCGAGTGAAGGAGTAGAGGAGATCTGCAGTATCCACATCGTAAAAGGAAACCAGACCCTCCTTATAGTCCACAAACACTCCCACCTTCTGAGGATGACACCTTAAAGGTAAATGCACTATGGGTTTATCAAAAGCCTCGTATTCATCCCCGTTCCTTAAATAAATAGTCCAGAAACCACTTTCAGGTTGTAGCGTGAGCTCTCCCTTCCTGTCAATGGACTCTGTGCTGACTCCCAAAGTCCAGTCGGTCTTCCCTTTAACCTGGACCTCAAAGTAGAACCTTCCAGAGGAGAAACTCTGTTTCCCTAAAACATTGACACAGTCCCTGAATCTCTTGGGGTTGTCTGGGAGATCTTTCCTCTCATCAGCATGATGTACTTGTTTCCCATCATCGGACAGGATCAGTTCAGGATGGGCTGTGTCAGGATCCAGAACCACGTCCACCGCGAACAGTTGGACGCTCCTCAGCTCTGCCTTGTTTATCTTGTGAACCACGGGAGTAATGACCATGGGGGCAGAGTTTGTGCCATTTTTGTTACCACAAGGGCCGAAGTATGCTAAGAGTTTCCCACTGAAGCGGCAACTGGTGAAGGAGTAGACAAGATCAGCAGTTTCCACGTTGTAAAACGAGACCAGACCCTTGTCATGATCCACAAACACCCCCACCTTCTGTAGACGGGATTTAAGGGAGAGCCGCACTGAAGGTTTAGTGATAGCTTCATAAACTTTGTTTCTTAACCATATCGTCCAGAATCCTTTGTCTGGGGTCACAATAATTTCCCCCTTCCTGTTGACGGATTCTTTGGCCACTCCGACAGTCCAGGCGGTCTTGCCTTCAACCAGAACCTCAAAGTAAAATTTTCCTGACAGTAGTTCTTTCCCCATGACACTGGCACATTTATCAAATCTCTTGTTGCTGTTTGGGAGGTCTTTGGTCACGTCAGTATCATATACTTGTTTGCCATCACTGGACAGGACGAGGTCTGCGTGCGCCGTATCAGGATCCAGAGTCACATCCACCGCAAACTCCCGGAGTTTTTCCAGCTCGGCCATCTTTTCCCCAATGCCTTCCATCTCGTAGCTCAGGTAGTGGATGTTGGTGTCTAAAGCAAAACAGATCACAAAGTTCACATATAAATATGCATATCTGCCAATCTCTCAATTTACCATTTCTATAAAAAGGTATTCTCACAATGAAAACAAGTTCACCGTTTGTCAACCAGAAGATTTAAGGACTGGTGTCACACTAGTTTGGACTGGACTTGGGTTAGATCAAAGGATCTTAAAGTTGAGTTCAGCATCCAACTTCTGAGTCGGTGGTGAAGCTTGAATTGGGGGGTCTTCAGATGATTATTATCTTCATGTTTTTTTTTAAATGTGACTTATGATCCGTTTGTATACGGTTACTTTGTCTTTAATAGTAGATCTCTGGTTTAATAATTGTGAGGGGTAGAAGCTGAAAAGGTGACACCCAGGTGGGTTAGATTAATGGTTTGAGGTCTTAAGGATTTACACCATTTTAACACCGTTTTATATCCTGATGCATAAAACTCAAGGATTTAAAAGGTTTGTTTTCTTCATAACTTTTACCTTTTTGATTTTATTTTTACACCAAATCTGCAACTTAAGCCTAAATTATCAATCGTTATAAATAATCGGTTATCAAGTATATCTACAAAAGCTTTTTCCTTCTTCTAACTTACCTTTTGGTTCCAGGTTGAATTTTTTCAGACGCTCCACCAGGTCAAACCTGCCGATCTCTCCTAAAACGTTCATGGTGAGACGCTTCGCTCCAGAAGCCTTATATTTCCCGACCATCAGATCAACAGTTTTACATCTTTCTGTGTTCTCTAGATCAGCTGCTGGGATGCCAGTTTGTCCCTCCAGCATATTGTCCTGCTTCAGGAACCACTTGAATGTGATGAAGTCCTCTTGGGTTAAGTCCTGCAGAACGCTCCAGAGCTCTCGAGAAAGTTTCTCCATGTTGTTGCTCTCAGTCCTGGAAAATGTCTGGAAACAGAAAAAACAAAAAACTAGTTCAGTTTTTTTGTTTGTTTGACAGTGTTGTGTTTTAAAGAAAACCAAAAACGACCAACAATCATTACCACAAATAAAGTTGGATTTTTTTTTTCTATTTTTAGCTTCACACTACTCGTTTACAGGTTAGCCTAGCATACAGGTGCTGCTCATAAAATTAGAATATCATGAAAAAGTTGATTTATTTCAGAAATTCTGTTCAGAAAGTGAAACTTGAATATTATATTTATTCATTACACACAGACTGATATATTTCAAATGTTTATTTGTATTAATGTTGATGATTATAACTGACAACTAATGAAAACCCCAAATTCAGTATCTCAGAAAATTAGAATATTGTGAAAAGGTTCAATATTGAAGACACCTGTTGCCACACTCTAATTAGCTAATTAACTGAAAACACCTGCAAAGACCTTTAAATGGTCTCAGTCTAGTTCTGTAGCTACACAATCATGGGGACGACTGCTGACTTGACAGTTGTCCAAAAGACGACCATTGACACCTTGCACAAGGAGGGCAAGACACAAAAGGTCATTCTAAAGAGGCTGGCTGTTCATAGAGCTCTGTGTCCAAGCACATTAATAGAGGTGAAGGGAAGGAAAAGATGTGGTAGATAAAAAGTGTACAAGCAACAGAGATAACTGCACCCTGGAGAGGATGGTGAAACAAAACTCATTCCAAAATGTGGGGGATTCACAAAGAGTGGACTGCAGCTGGAGTCAGTGCTTCAAGAACCACCACGCACAGACGTACCCAAGACAAGGGGTTCAGCTGTCACATTTCTTGTGTCAAGCCACTCTTCTACAAGAGACAGCGTCAGAAGTGTCTCACCTGGGACTGCTGCTGAGTGGTCCAAAGTTATGTTCTCTGATGAAAGTAAATTGTGCATTTCCTTTGGAAATGAAGGTCCCAGAGTCTGGAGGAAGAGAGGAGAGACAGAATCCATGTTGCTTGAGGTCCAGTGTCAAGTTTCCACAGTCAGTGATGGTTTGGGGCCATGTCATCTGCTGGTGTTGGTCCACTGTGTTTTCTGAGGTCCAAGGTCAATGCAGCCGTCTACCAGGAAGTTTTAGAGACTTCCTGCTGCTGACCAGCTTTATGGAGATGCAGATTTCATTTTCCAACAGGACTTGGCACCTGCACACTGTGCCAAAGCTACCAGTACCTGGTTTAAGGACCATGGTATCCTTGTTCTTAATTGGCCAGCAGAGGAAGATGTGATTCAGAAGAGCTGAAGGCCACTATCAGAGCAACCTGAGCTCTCAGAACACCTGAGCAGTACCACAGACGGATCCACTCCATGCCACGACGCACTGCTGCAGTAATCCAGGTACAAGGATGCTGTACATGCTCGTACTTTTCAGTTGGACAACATTTCTAAAAATCCAGTTTTTTAATTGGTCTTAAGTAATATTCTAATTTTCTGAGATACTGAATTTGGGGTTTTCATTAATTGTCAGTTATAATCATCAACATTAAAATAAATAAACATTTGAATCAGTCTGTGTGTAATGAATGAATATAATATACAAGTTTCAGTTTTTGAATGGAATTACTGAAATGAATCAACTTTTCATGATATTCTAATTTTATGACCAGCACCTGTTTAATGGTATAACCTCTGCATCTTCACTGGCTCACCGGTGGTACTGGTACTGCAACAGTTCAACGCTGCACAGGCCTAACTGGCTGCACCTGTGAAGGTGTGGATTCAAGGTGTGGCCTGAGGCGGTTCACCATCGAGGTTTCTGGTTGTTTACCTGGCTGGTTGTTGAGTCAGCACCACTCCGGGGGCTGATGGTTGCCTTGTGATGGCTTAACCAAGGTTTTCTTTTTTTACCTTTGTTGGTTGTTTTTGAAATAAAAACTGTTAAACTCAATGTTGTGTTCAGTATTTATTTTATTCTGTGGCCCAGTGAGCTTCGATGTAACACAGGTTCATTTCTTTCCTACGATGACTCATAATTTTGCGAGTTCAAGCCGTTTTTCGTCTCTGGTTTGTGTTTAAAATGCTGGGAACTGGAGGTTTTTCTTGAGGTGGTCTGTTGTGGGGAGTTGTAATGACTTTATGGGCTGAACATGGTCCAAGTGCTACCAGTTGTTGGATCACTAGTCTATAGTTATAGAACACTAATCTACGTTTAATATTTGAATGAAGCACTCATTTAAGTTCTCCGACAGACTGAATTCACTTTTATTCCTCCATTTTTGTTGAATATCAACCTAACAATGTTCAGACAGGTCATCTAGATGGGTTTTTTTTTGTGTTGAGATGGTTTGTCCTTCATCCAAAGGACTTCTTCAATCTGAGGAGCCACCAACAAACTGAATCCTACAAACAAAAATCAGTTTAACATTATCAAAGCATCACCAGCAAACTGTTTTTTATTCCACTATGGGAGTGTGCTGTTTGTGGGATTCAGTTTGTTGGTGGCTCCTCAGATCGAAGAAGTCCTTTTGGATGAAGGACGAAACGTCTCAACAAGAAAAGAAACCGTCCAGATGACCTGACTGAACATTGTTGGATTTTTACGTGGATTAATGAGAATGACCTTTGGTGAATATCGACTTAAATTCTTGTTCCCTTTATCTAACAAGGTTGAGTCAGTTCCTGTGGACGGGTTCTTCTTGGCTTAAGATTTATCTACCTGGATTATTGAGCATGCATCAGAGCATTGTTAGCTTTATGTTTTATTAGAAATTAAATTTTCTGTTTTATCCGGACACATTCTTTGTACATTTTAGTCAGTCCACAACTTGGAACATAAACAGCCTGACAGCAGCTTTTATCTCTAGCACAATAAAATGTTCAACTAACCAGGTTAATAGAAATTCACATATACAATACGTGCATAATTTAAAATTAATTCTGTCTGCTTTAATTGTTGTCCTCCGTCACGGAGGGGAGATGGAAGCACCGTCCCTGCATGTTGTGCTCATGATAACTTGAACAATAAGAGTGGTGCTGACTTCCATTTTGGTGTGTGGCTGCATTTACACATTAAAGGTCACTATCGAAAATTGGGTTGCTACGTCAAAATCCAAGATGGCCACTGCCATGTACATATATATATATGTATATATATATATGTATATATATATGTATGTATATATATGTATATATAACCCAACAACGCTGATCATTTGAGGTAACAGTTTTCTAGTTTTTAATGTTACTTAAAAGTATAGTTTTCTCAAATAGTTGGGGTGGCTGAAGATTAATCTGTGGTGGGCAAAGCCACCAGTGGCCACCCCCTGGCTCCACCTCTGCCCCCGGTGATGGATAAAACTGCTCCCAGTCCCCCCACTCTCCAGAATCCGTCACGCTGAGCTGCTTCGGACAAGAAATAAAATAAAAACCTCTCCTTGTTCTCCTCCACAGTGGAACTCCTCCTGTACCTACTTGAACGTCTTGCACCAAAAACATCTAAAGACTTCTGTTTGGAAAAAATAAATAAAACTGTAAAAAATGTGAATCTTTACTGAAAATAAAAAGACTAAATTAAAATGTGGTTTTGGAAAAACCTTTGCTTGGGCAGGCAGGACATCCTGTGGCCCTTAAGGCCCGGTTGGACTGGCCCAACTTGAGTTCTACCCTGGGTTTGAGTATTTGCACTGGGCAGTCTGGTCCAGTTCCAGTTCCATGTTTGGAACCCAAGAGACCTGGGGTTCCATTAGGGCCGAGCTGGTGCTACATATTGGACACTGACTGGTTCTGTGGCCCGGTGGGTCACGTCACAGACGAGTCAAACTTCCTGCGGCTTCTTTCCTCCTCTTCCTCTGTCCGGCTGTGTGACAGAGAGAGCAGCTACTTCTGTAGGAAGCTGAACGCAGAAGATGACACCAGCGTCCTGGACAGACGACGAGGTGCAGTTAGGTCCGGGGCCGGGCCGGTCCAGACCGGACCGAGCTTTACAACGAGGCGTTAGTTTCTAACAGGAATCGTAAATGTAGACCATTAACTCACCGATCTGATTCCAGCAGAAATGTTGAAGCGTAAACAAACTCTTTATAAACATTCCCAACAAAACCAGCTTTAAATCCTCGGTGTGTGAGGTGGTCCCAGTTTGCTTCCTTCCTCCTCTCTGACCCACTTTCTGTTTGATAACTCAGTCTCCTCCTCTCCCTCGTGCATCGCCCCTCGTGTATCGCGTGTTTACATTTCAGCTGTGGACTCTTTGGACCCGACGTGAGACCAGACGAAGACCCAGAGCAGTAAAAAGGTTTTATTAGAAAATAAAAGGCACAAACATGAAACAGCTTCAACACAACGGGAGTTAAAATCTGCACGTCGTGTAAACATCCAGTATTTTGCTGCTCAGATTAAAATCATTGTGAAAGTAACATCATGTCTTTGTCATTTATTTTAAACATTAACTCTCACATAGACACAGTTTTATTAAACACCTTACAGACAGTGCTAAATCATGAAAACTGAAGCTTGAAATAGAAACACAAGTTTTATCTTTGCAGAGAAAAAGAAATGTTTCTTGCTTCATATCCAGTTCTGTTGTGCCTTTTCACTGGATGATCTGCGCGTACGCCTGTCGCGATAAACAATCAATCAATCAATCACATGAAAAATGAAAATGATCTACCTCATTTTCATTTATCATTTCTTCATCTATCTCTTTCTACTGAAGACACCGGATGACCTCACTGACCCCTCCCTTTCTCTTTAAAATCTGTTTTAACGTCCAAAATCACATTTTTGATCGTTAAAAGCAGCTAAGCTGAGAAGCTAAGCTAACAGGCCGACCTCGGGGACAAAACCTCCGTCTTGTCGAAGCTCCAAAATTCACGGTTGAAACTCGTGCCTTCGTCTAAAAAGTTGTTTTTCTCTGCAAAAAGAAGCTGAGAACTTGTTTACTGATTTTTTTATTAAAAGCTTTGTGTGGAAAATACTAAAGAGCTCAAGCCACACCGAGCGTCCGCCATTTTGAGAACAGACGAGAGACAGCCCATGTCACGTCAAGGAGCCTCCCTCTCATTTTTCTTAAAGAAACACTCTGCTCTCTCCCTCACTATCCATCCTTCAGTTCAAACAGTCTTATACTGCCATCCGGTGGTAAAAAAAAAAGGTATTACACACAAAACAAATGAACCAACATTTCTTCTTAAATTTGACAATAATTACTAATTATTGTCAAATTTTAAACAATATTATAATTTATCGCAATAATTTCTGAGACAATCGCCCAGCAAATTTTGTTCTCGTGACAGGCCTAGCTCCGCGTTTACATCTGAGAGCCTCTGCAAAATCCAAGATGCTTTGAATTACCCAGAAAACGTTCGTCTTTCCTGGCCAAAGTGGCTGCGGAGTCCTCCAATAAAATTGTTTTAGTTTGGGTGTAATCTGCTGGTGAAGATTCATTCACTGATGGCATTAACGGTGTTATTTACCACAAAAAATAGTCAATCTAATAATTTTCATTGATGTAAGAGAGAACCAGAGGCGCGGTGTTCAGACCGCTGTGGTTGATGCTGGGGCTGAAGAACGGATAAAGCTTCTCTTTAAACAACAAGTCAGTAAACTTGTGGATTATTTCTGCAGAATCTGCGTTATGAAATGAAATTAACCCCTTCTCACAATCCACAAACACACCTAGTCTGTTTAACGGGGTGCGTAAAGTAAGATGGACTCTTGAGGCTTTATACTGCTCCCCCCTCCTGAGACAGATGGTCCAGTATCCATCGTCAGGGCGGGCGTTAATCGACCCCTTCCTGCTGATGGACTCGTGGACCACACCTACATCCCAGGAGATTTTTCCTTCCACCTGAACCTCAAAGTAAAATCTTCCCGATGAGAAACTCTGCTTTCCCAAGACGTTGGGAGCAGTGTCAAACCGTTCTGGATAATCCGGGAGGTTCTGGTTGATGTTACCGCAGTAAACTTGTTTCCTGTCTTTGGACAGGACAAGACTGGGATGAGCCGTGTTCTGATCCAGAGTCACGTCGACCGTAAACTGCTTCATCCTGTTCAGTTCGGCCCTGCTCAGGAGCGTCCTCGTCTCTTCGGCGAGCGTCTCCTTAAGTGCGTTCACAGAAGTCGTCACGGTTTCCTCATAAGATGGTTGAGGAACGGTGACCTCGGTCCAGTTCTTGAACGAGAAGCTCTGATTGTAGCCCAGGTTGTCGTTCAGCTCGGCCTCTCTCTTGGACAGCTCAGAGATTTCCTGCTTCAGCTCATGGATGATCCCATCAGCCTCTTTCTGTGTCCTTCTCTGCCTTTCCTTGATCTCTTCAGCGACGTGGTCCGAACTTCTCTGAGCTGACTGGATCAAAGCGGTGAAAGCGCGCTTGCTGTCCGAAATCTGTCTGTCTGCAGACTTCCTGCTGAGCTCTGCTGAGCGCTGGATTTCACCAATCTTCTTCTTCCTCTCCTGTATCATCAGCTTTGTTTTAGTCTTCATCTCTTCCAGTTTGGCCTTCTGCCTCTCAGAGTTACAGGGAGGATGAGCAGAGTTGATGTTCTTAACGTCTAAATCAAAGCAGAGTTAGGACAAAATGGTTAGTGTTGCATAAAGATCACTCTAAACCCATAACAGATGTATCTAATAATTCACGTAATGCATTTTTAATAGGCCTGTCACGATAACAAATTTTGCTGGGCGATTAATTGTCTCAGAAATTATTGCGATAAACGATAATATTGTTTGAAATTTGACAATAATTAGTAATTATTGTCAAATTTAAGAAGAAATATTGGTTCATTTGTTTTGAGTGTAGTAAATTTTTTTAACCACCGGATGGCAGTATAAGACTGTTTGAACTGAAGGATGGATAGTGAGGGAGCGAGCAGCGTGTTTCTTTAAGAAAAATGGGAGGGAGGCCCCTTAACTGACATGGGCTGTCTCTCTTCAATTCTCAAAATGGCGGCCGCTCGGTGTGGTTTGAGCTCTTTAGCATTTGTCACACAAAGCTTTTAATTAAAAAAAAATCAGTAAACAAGTTCTCAGCTTCTTTTTGCAGAGAAAAACAACTTTTTAGACGAAGGCACGGGTTTCAACTGTGAATTTTTGGAGTTTCAACAAGACGGACGTTTTTTCCCAAGGTCGGCCTGTTAGCTTAGCTCGTAGCTTAGCTTCTCAGCTTAGCTGCTTTTAACTGTCCAAAAACGCAATTTTGGATCGTTAAAACAGATTTTTCTTTTTTTCATTTAGCCTTTATTTATCCAGGTTAGTCTCATTGAGCCACGAGAACTCATTTTCAAGAGAGACCTGTTTAGGGAGCACATGGTGGGGGGTTAAGGGCCTTGCTCAGGGGCCCAGAGTGGGGCGAATGAGGGTGGAGGGAGGTGTAGGAGTTCCACCTTTTCCACCCACAGTTTGTTGATGTTGACGGTACTGGGAGGTGAACCTGCAACTTTCCGATCACAGGCCCATCTTCTAACTTCTGCTCCACCACTCCCCCTCAAATTTTGCATTTTAAGGAGAAAAGGAGGGGTCTGTGAAGAACCGGAGTTGAGCCTTTTCTCATCCAGTGTCTTCAGTAGAAAGAGAGACACAAAGAAACGATAAAGCTGAGAAATGAAAATGAGGTAGATAATTTTCATTTATCATGCGATTAATTGATTTATTGTTTATCGTGACAGGCCTAATTTTTCGGTCTTACTGTTTCTAACTTACTTCTCTGTCCTGTTCCGGTGGTTGACAAACACTGCACCAGATCATTCCTGTGGATCTTCTTCAAAATCCTGGTGGTTTTCTGCAGAGCTTTAGTGATGGTTCCATAGTTCTGCACCATCTGATCCACAGTGTCCTGCTGGTCCGCCTTCTCCAGACGGACTTCTGGGATGGCTCTGAAACCTTCTTCTGCATCTTTTAGGAACCACTTGAAATGCTTGAACTCCTCATTGGTCAAGTCGTTGAGGATGTGCCAGAGATCTTCTTTGGTTGTCATTCTTAGTTTGCTGGAAACCAAAACAACTCTGCAAAACATAACCGCACAAAAAAAGACTTGAGTTGACGTTTTTACTGTAAATTTAATCTTTGAGGTCAAAGTTCTTGACCAGAAGATGGTGGATTGCTCTAACCATGTTGGGGATGAGTCCCCAGTTCACGTATCTCAGTGTCTGCTCACAAGCGACGGTGCAAGAGATGATGGGAGGCTTGCTCTGCAGTAATGAGGGCATTGCTCTGGTCTATTGTGGTGAAGAAGCTTAGCCAAAAGTCAAAGCTTACAACTTTCCGGTCTGTTTACGTTCCATCCTTCACCTGGGCTCATGATTCATCCTCCATCAAGTAGCTTGCAGACGAGGAGAGGAGCTCCATCTTTCAATACAACTGTACTTCTAGATTCCTCCATCTGTCTGTGGTCAGGTCATGGAGATAATGGGTCCATGCATCCCTGTCCCCATCCTGAGGGGTCCTGAGGTTGATCAGAGAAGATACTCCCTACAGAAAGACAAGGCCTCCTAATCATGTCTGAACTGTGGACGAGGTCCTGACTCTTTGGTTCGTCTGCTTCTCCAAGACTCAACTCCTCCTGAGGCAGACCCGGCCCGGAGGGCCTGCCCCAACAGAACCACATCATCTGCAACTAGCAGACAGGACTCTGTATTTTACAAACCAGACCCCCACCTCTGTACAACCGAGTCCTGAGACCCTGTCCACAAACACCCCGACCAGGATCAGGCCCGGCAGACCCGACCCTCAGCAGGAAGGAGCTCGGCTTCAGGACAGATGAAACAGCTTAAACGTCTCTGAAGGAGCAGATCTTTTGGAGTGTGCTGAAGCAATAAGACGCTAAAAGCAGAGAAGCTGTGTGAATGCTGATTCAGCGTTTACGAAGCGTCCTACCTTCAGCTTGAAACCCTCCGGCTGCTTCTGCTCTTTAAAGTTTAACTGCTTGAATGTGCGATAATCTGTAATGAAACCAGATAAACAGGACAGGATTACCAGGCAGCTGCAGCACCGTGCGTGTGTTCATGTGGCTGCAGGACTTGTTGCATCATCTCTGTCGGTTTGAAACAAACAAAAAAAAAAGGCGGTAAAGCGACAAGCTGTTTCCTGTCTGTGGTTCAGCTCAGCTGAAGCTAGATGGAGGCAAAGTCTCGTTCTTTTTACAGACTGGTCTGTTTTGAAGGCCTTTCTTTAATTCATCATCTCACTGGCAAACAGGTGAAGTTTGTGTCTGCTTGTTAGCAAAATATCTTAAAAGCCACTGGACTCATTTTAATTAAATGTTCACAACACAAACTAATCATTAGTCGTACATCTTCTACTGATCAACTTTTATACTCAACCCAATTCAGGATGGTCGCCATAGCGACGCAGCTTCACATTTACAGACGCCGAGCTGCAGTTAACGTGGTAGTAACTGAGAGTCGTCACAAACGCACCGACCAGCGGCTAATGCTTCGTGTTCGTGACGTCGTTCACCGTTTTTCACCCAAACGATCGTTTGTTCTTCAGAAAACAATCTTTGTTTAATTCTCTGGAATAAAAGGCGTTTAATTACTAAACGTCTTTAGGTAAAGTACAAAATGTTTTAATAAAAAAAGGAAAAGATGCAGGAGTCATAACAGTCCAAAAAGAAAACGGGAACTTTTCTGAATGAAACTCTGATAATTCATCAGAAGAAAATCTAAACCAGAGAAAATTAACGAAACGATAAAAATCTGAGCTGGATCTTAAACTGGGAATCAAGACAAGAAGAAGAAAACGGAGAATTAAGAGCTAAAGAAGCTCAAGAACAAACCTAAATCTAAACTGAGCTCTCAGATTATAACAGATTATCCTTAACTGAGCTCTCAGATTATAACAGATTATCCAAAACTGAGCTATCAGATTATAACAGATTATCCTTAACAGAGTTCTCAGATTCTGACAGATTATCCTTAACTGAGCTCTCAGATTATAACAAATTATCCAAAACTGAGCTCTCAGATTATAACAGATTATCCAAAACTGAGCTATCAGATTATAACAGATTATCCTTAACAGAGTTCTCAGATTCTGACAGATTATCCTTAACTGAGCTCTCAGATTATAACAGATTATCCTTAACCAAGCTCTCAGATTATAACAGATTATCCTTAACTGAACTCTCAGATTATAACAGATTATCCTTAACTGAGCTCTCAGATTATAACAGATTGTCCCAACAGCAGATAATCCTAAAACCCTTCAACAAGCAGGATGTTTGTTCAGATTATGTTTCTGCTTTGTGGAAATCTAAAGAATGAAAACAACCTTGAGTCGCCCACACATCAGAGACGAGCTGCAGGTGGACGAGTCCTTGAACATCGAGTCCTTGAACCTCGAGTCCTTGAACCTCGAGTCCTTGAACCCACCCTCACCTGGACGTTTGTCTTCCTGTCCTGATCCACAGAAAACTCACCGTTCCTTCAGGACTTGTAGATTCCTCTAAGATGTCTCTGCAGGCTACAAGGACTTCTGGAGCCTGAATCAGTTGATTTTACAGCTGAAGTTTGGTGTGGTGGTGACTGAGAGTCATGTCCAGCAGCGCTCTGAGCTCAGGTCACTGGAGTTGGTGTGGTGGTGACTGAGAGTCATGTCCAGCAGCGCTCTGAGCTCAGACCACTCGAGGCCCGTCTAAACGTTCGTCGGGCCCGGCGGCGGATGGTTTGCGTTCCTTCATTTGACGGAGATGTTGCAGCAAAACTTCACACCCTGAAGGGTTCTCAGCCAGAGCTTGTTGCACACGTTGCAGGCTCTGAACCAGAACTACATTTGGACTGAGGACAGGAAAGTGGGTGGAGCTTCAAGATTAATCTCCTTTGTTTTAGCACCTGGATCATCAGTCAGCCTGAATATGAACATGATGACATGAACTGGTTTTGAGAACTTGTCATTTGTGTTTGGTATTTGGAAACAAAGAGAGGGAGGGGCTCAGAGGGAGGAGGAGGAGGTGCTAAAGGAGCACACCCAGAGGGAGTAGAACAGGTGAGACGGGCCCTGCTCTGATTACTTCTCTGTGCCTTCACCTGCAGGAGCTGCTGTCCTCGGAGGATCTGTGAAGAGAAGCCATGGCGGTGAACAAGTGCGTCAAATACTCGCTGTTCTTCTTCAACCTCCTGTTCTGGGTGAGTCTGAAACACAGAACCTGCAGGAGCTGCTCCTGGACCCAACCGTCCAGTCAGGGTTGGTTCAGGCTCTTTGACCTTGACTCCACAAGGTCAGAACAAAAACAGGCTGATTTTTGCTCCTTGATTAATTTGAGCAGTTGTTTTGTGTGGAGCGTCTGCTGACCTTCATCAAACAGACCTGAGATCAGTTTTAGGGTGTGGTCGCTGCCCAGGCTCACCTTACGCTCCCATCACGGGCCCAGGACGGCTTCATGTGAATAATTTAACTGCTTGTAAAACATGATGTGCGTTTGGAGCCGCTCCTGTTCCGGCAAGACGTTTTTTAATCTCATTTCCTGCTTTCGATGAAGCAAATGTCCTGATTTGGTTATTGTGCAGCTCATTTTCACGCAGCTGTCGCTCGACCTGTCGGCTCGCTTTCTAAAAACTTCTGTTTGTTCCTGTTCCACAAACAGCAGTTTACTCCATCAGACGGTCTTTACAGCCGTCTGTCGCACTTTATGCTTTAAATAAGGAAATAAAACGCACAATAAGTTTAAATAAGGAAATAAAACGCACAATTAGTTTAAATAAGGAAATAAAACGTACAATTAGTTTAAATAAGGAAATAAAACGCACAATTAGTTTAAATAAGGAAATAAAACGCACAGTAAGTTTAAATAAGGAAATAAAACGCACAATAAGTTTAAATAAGGAAATAAAACGCACAATAAGTTGAAGCCGTAAAAAGAGAGGCCCGTTTGTTGCACCCAACAGGCCTTTAACAGACCCACTGCTTACAGTCCAGTTCTCATCGTTTAACAACGGTTTGGTTTAAACTAGAACGATGTCACAAGGTGAGGTCAAAGGTCAACTGGGATTAAAAAGTGATGTATCGTGTTCTGGTAAAAATGAAGCCATGAATGAGTTGGACCTTTTTTCCAAAGTCAACGCAGCGTCCACATCTACCACGAAGTCCAACAAACCAATGTCTGCCAACTCTTAATAATTTTACTCTCTAACCTTTAAAACCTTTAAAAACATTAAAAAACTTTAAAAAGAGCCCAACGGTTCAATTAAAAAACACAAAACTTCACTTGTTCTGACCGTGCCGGGTTTAATTTAGTTTTTTATTGTGACGTTGCCGATCAAAACGGCGTGTTCTGATGGGCTGCTTGAAGCTCCAGTGATCTCCAGCAGGTGGACCAAGACTGGACCAACTGGGACCTCTTCAAACCCTGCCCAGTCCTCTCAGTGGAACGCTGACTCGAATATCGTTTTATTTTAGTTTGGTCACTTGTTCTGGAGATCCGAAGCGTTGGTCCTAATGGTACCACACACGTTGGCAAATCTTTAAAATGTTCTTTGTCAATGTGTTGGACATGTAGTCATGGTTAAACTGGGTTAAATGGTGGGACATGTCCTGATTCATGCTCTGTAATCCAGGTAGAAGTTAAATTTGTTAGACGCAGTGGGGGAGAGGGCAGACTCCAGAAACCACCTGAGCACCATCAGCTGGTTGACCCACCATGTGAAGGTGCCGGAGTCTGTTGCAGCTCCTCAGACCGATGAACGGTCCAGCACAAACCGTCCAGAGGACCTGACTGAACTTTAACTGGTGGGAAAGTTTGAACATTTCAGTCGAGAGAACTTTGTTTTGGTAGTTCTGAGTATTTGATCCTCGGAGCAGCCGGCAGGGTCTCCTCTTTAACCCTTCGTTCATGCAGAGCTAATTATTAACCCATCAGCGGTCTTGGTTTGAGCTTGTTGCCTTCAGGGATCAGAGACGAGTAACGAACTGAGTTTGACATTAAAGGACTTGAAGGACAACAAAGTTTTTAGGTTTGACGTGATTTATTTACATATGAACAAATCACAAAATGACTTATGGCTGGAAAAACTAACTTCATGCCAAGAGGAGTGACTGTATCGTGGAAAAGTTTCCAAACCAAAATAAGAGCTGCTCTGTTCAAACCAGTGAGAAGGACGAGAGACGTGGAGAAAAACGTCTTTTTAGACTCATCCTGATGATCAGCCTCAAAATGGAAGGACGAACCACAACAGTCTGTCGGCTGCGGTTTCATACGGTCTGTGTGAAGTCCTTTAGATGAGCCTCTTCGGCGCAGACCACCTTGCCGCAGGCCTCTTTGGTGCAGACCACCTTGGCCCAGGCCTCTTTGGCGCAGACCACCTTGGCCCAGGCCTCTTTGGCGCAGACCACCTTGGCCCAGGCCTCTTTGGCGCAGACCACATTGGCCCAGGCCTCTTTGGCGCAGACCACCTTGGCCCAGGCCTCTTTGGTGCAGACCACCTTGGCCGCAGGTCTCTTTGGTGCAGACCACCTTGGCCGCAGGTCCCTTTGGCCCAGGCCTCTTTGGCGCAGACCACCTCGGCCCAGGCCTCTTTGGCGCAGACCACCTCGGCCCAGGCCTCTTTGGCGCAGACCTCCTTGGCCCAGACCAGATGAATGTTTGTTGCTGGCTCAGATCCTCAGATGGAAGAGGGCTCTCCAGAGTTTCATGGCTCTAAGTTCAGGTCACCAAACGGGTCGTGGCCGTTTGTTGGTCGACTCTCAGACTTCTGAGAGAAGATCTGAGCTCCGTCCTCTTTGTTCTGGTGTGGACAGAAGACCTTCTTCTGGTGGCTTCACACCGACTCACTGGAAGGAAATGAAAGTGGTGTGCAGCTGGATGAGCCCACATCTTCAGCTTGTTTTTTGTTAACGGTCATCGACCATCTTCATCCACCTTTACCAAACCTTCACAAGTGACCACCTCTAGACAGGAAATGGTTAGAAGTCCACCTGAAACGAAGTGGAACATTTTGACACGTTACACGTGAACTTCTCGTCTTGCTGATTTAAAAAAATGTAACTTCAGAGCTGGTTTCTTTGGACCCGTCTCTCTCCAGGAGCGGCGTTGTGGTGCAACGTATCCCACAGACCGCACTGACTAATCCTCTGGTTCCTGCAGAGATGAACTCGTAGTTTTTGGGCCGGGGCAGAGGAGGTTTCTGTTTGGGGTTTGTTTTGTTCACGTCCGGCGTGACGCTCAGCTGCTGCCTTCATTTAGGGTCTTTAGCTGTTTTTGAATCGTTGCTGGAAAACGACTGAGTTCACACGGTTTGAGTGAACTTTGATTCACTGCAGCTGAAGCTCGGGGTACAGAGCCGAGAGCTACGGCTAATCCTGTTAGCCGCAAATCTACTGAGTGGGTTTAAATGTTTTCTTTATCAACGGGTTTGTCCATTTAAAAAAATAAATGCATGGGATTTGCTCTTTAGTAGTTTTTGTTCCTTGATGGTTCAGAAGCATTGGTTGGTTTAGGGTGGGGTTGTGTTCAGAGGCCTCTTCTGGACAAACCTGCTCATCGGTTTCCAGCGTGACAAAAGCACCAAATACCTGAAGGCCTACGTGTGGGTTTTGTTTTAAATTCCCACCAGGAGTATCTGTCGAAGGACTCCGGTTGTTTCTAGAGAGCTGAAGTGAGAGATGATGGGTGGAGGTGGAGCTCCGGTCCGTTTGTCATAAACACTGAAGACGAGCTTTAACAGGCCCAGAGCGCGAGTCCAGATCTGTCACGGATCGGATCACTGAAGGATTTCGTGTGTGTGGGTGTGTGTGACAAGTCGGTCTTGTTGGGTCATGTTTGAATCCTTGAGGATTTTGGTTCTTGGTTACACAAAGGCGTTTGAGCCTGAGAGTCAGCGCTGAGGGCTGAAACGCCCACGAGCCTTTATGAAAGAACCTGCTGTCAAAATAAAAGCCTCGACTCCGCCCTTTAAACTTGAAGCAAACCAGTGACTTTCATTAAAGATTGATTCCAGTTTTCATCGCTTTAATCTTTACTGCTCAAAGATTAACGTTTACTGGGATTAAACTACAAACATTAGCCACTTTGATTTACTGTAATCCAGATTGTTTTATTTAAAAAAAATCCTAACGAGATAATCCAATCCTTACCTGACTTTAATACTGACCATTTTTAATTTTAAAGACTGTTAATCTGAGAGATTTTTGTAAAACTTTGGTCTCTTTAGCACTTCTTGTTATGAAAGTTTAATCCCTACAAACAAGAATTAAGAATAAATCTGCTTTATTTCTGATTTATAGTAATTTTACAATAAAACGCCAGATTTAAAAACATCAGAATCACAAAATATTTGGTCTTTTTGGAGTTTGATTGTAAAACATAATCCAGTTTAAAAACGTACTCTGGATTATTGTATGCCTTTCATGGCGACAAACGATCTTATTATTGTCTGTGCTCCTGTTAGCAAAACATCTCATGAACCACAGGAAGCACATCAACAGATTTTAACTTGGTGAAAGATGGCCGCCACGGCCAACATTTATTTATTTTTTGGTCGTGGTTGTCGCTCAGAGCGGCGGGCGATATGCATTCCTTCATTGTGAGTAGACGTGATCTAATCCTCACCTGTCAAATCAATTCAGGATTTAAAACGGTCAGATTAGAAATTTGAGCTGGATTAGATTCTGTCGAAACGTTCGTCTCGATTCCTGTTTTTTTTATCTAAAGTTTTCATTCTGATTCAGATTATTACAGTAACACATGCCTAAAGTGACGATGTAAAAGTGTATAATCTGGATTAATTTCATGATAACTCATGAATCCAATCAATCCTTGAGCGCTTGTCTCCCTCAACCGTTAACGAGTCACTCGGCACTGACTTGTAACTTTGTGTAAAACTGACGGCGTTGGAGCCGTTGGTGTTAAGATCGGTTTTATGAAGCGGCCATCTTGAATCACATCGACTCTGAAATGAAATCTTTTATTTCGTCGGACACAAACTTTTATTTCTTAACGTATCAAACTTTCCTTGAGGCCTTTAAGAATAAAAGTGTAGAAGTTGATTGTGACGGGTCATCAAACCCACTCGGGTCCGTTTGTTGGTTTTTGTCTTGAATGATCCGGTCCGTCGTGTTTCATTTCAAACGTGGATCTGCAGGTTGGACCGGAGATCCAGGGCGCTGCTGCTGGCGACCACCTGAGAAACCAGAACCCGACTCCTAATCCGGTAAAACGTGAAGCGGGTTTCTGAGTGTCTGCCTCGCAGGTGAACAGAACCTGCGGTCAGACGGTTGAAGCCAGATCCAGACGGAGCGTTCCGTTTCCTCGGGCGGCGAAACCCTCGGCACGTTTGTGTCGGTCGCTCAACCAGCCGGAACTTCACGCCTTTCTTCTGCTCGAACAGCCGAAACGGTTTCAAGGTGAACTTTAAAAAGTCACTCAAGTTAAAAACGACTGTCGAGGTCGAGTTATGAGCCTAGAGGGACACCGTAGTGTTGAGGCGTCTGTGCTGGATTAAAAAATAACTAATCTCTAAACGAGGATTTGAATGTTGTTCCCAAACCGGCCCGACGACCTCAACATTCATGTTTCAAGACGCTCTGCTCTGATTGGCTGACACGAGTCACATGATTCACACTTCCTGTTTCCTTGAAAGGAATAAGTGGACGTTGAGCTAAAACTGTAGAACCTGCAGCCCAGAGGTTAAAGTTTAGGATTATTTGGATCGTGTGAGCCGTTCAGGTAATCTGGGTGAAATCTGAAACCTCCAGTTTAAAAGTTTTGTTGCACATGTTGAGAAGGTCTGAGCTCCGAGGCTGGTTCTGTCCATCACTGGGCTCGGTCCATCCATGATGACCAGAACGTTGCAGAAAAGGTTCTGGTAGGACGTCTGTCAAAGACCTCACCGTCCGCCTCGGTTCTGGACCTTGTTCTGTAAAATCTCCAGGTTCTGGACCCTGATCTGTAAAATCTCCAGGTTCTGGACCCCGTTGTGTAAAATCTCCAGGTT